CGAGAAGAAGAGAAGAGAGAGAGGAACGAGAGGGAGGGAGAGAAGAGAGAGAGAGAGAGATGATGAGAAGACGAGAAGAAGAGAAGAGAGAGAGGAACGAGAGAGAGAGAGAAGAGAGAGAGATGAGAGAGCAGAGAGAGAAGACAGGAGAGCCTGAGAGCGAGGAGGAGAGAGAGGAGGAGAGCGAGAGAGAGAGAAGACGAGAGAGAGAGAGAAGAGAGAAGAGAGAGATGAGACTGAGCAGAAGAGAGAGAGGAGAGCAGAGGAGGAGAGGAGAGAGATGAGAGAGAGAGAGAGAGAAGAGAGAGAGCAGAGAGAGAGCAGAGAGAGAGCGAGAGAGAAGATCGAGAGGAGAGAGAGAGATAGTAGACGAGAGATGATTCCGAGAGAGAGAGAGAGAGAGAGAGAGCAGAGAGAGACGCAGAGAGAGAGAGAGAGCGAGAGATTGAGAGAGAGAGAGAGAGACGACGAGAGAGAGGAGAGAGAGAGAGAGAGCAGAATGGAGAGAGATGAGGAGAGAGAGTGCGCTCGCAGCCGTCAGTTGATCGTCGGGCACCACGTAACGACCCCAGGGAGTGGCGCCATCTCGGCGAGGAAAAGCGATTACGCTAGCGACTACAAACAAGCAGACACAAGCGGTGCGTGCAGCAGAAAAACTAGGTCGTTGGTGGGAGAGACAGCTGCATAGACTCGTCTGCTAAATCAGCTGAGGGACGTCTGCTACTGGCAAAGCACTAAACGTTCGGCCGAGACTCCTGGCGACGAAGAAACAAGCGCGCGTTCGAGATCGAACGCGGGTTCGCACGTGACCGACTCGAGTACCGTCATCGCGCGTCGATTCGTAGAAAAAAAACACTACTCTACGATGTAGAAAAAAGATAAACACACACACACCTTGGGAGAGGGTTAGCTTGTTGTGATGTGACCGCCGTACACGGGAGTTAGTGTGGTGTGTGTTAGTGACACGCGCCCGTTCGCTCGCCGCTACTCGATGGAAATAGAATGTATAAAAAAAAACTTCACACGCACACCCACGCATGCACGCACGCACACACACGCCACGCACACACGCACACACATGCCACGCACACACGCACACACACGCACACACGCACACCCACACTTAGTCTCTACTCGATCACCATGATTATATTCCCACTGCCCGTGAAACAACAATGTAATGATGACACCATCACACCCCCTGCCGCAGTTCAAGTTTACGCACTCTCCAAATGACTCGCGATTTCAGGGATTGTCACACCGGTGACTCGACGAGGGAATCGAGCCGTTACCTTCTGCAAGATCGAATGATTTCGGAGGGATGCACGCACAGTACGGTAGCTTTTGCGTGATTCCTCATTAATATACTCTCATCTCCTCGTCACTGAACCACGTCGGACGTAGCAGACCTCACAATGACCGTGCGATGACCTCACAATGACCGTGTGATGATCTCATGATGACCTCACTATGACCGTGTGATGACAGTGTGATGACCTCATGATGACCTCACAATGACCGTGTGATGAGTTTATGATGACCATGCGATGACCTCACGATGACCGTGTGATGAGCACACAATGACCGTGTGATGACCTCATGATGACCATGCGATGACCTCACAATGACCGTGTGATGACGAGTTTATGATGACCATGCGATGACCTCACGATGACCGTGTGATGAGCACACAATGACCGTGTGATGACCTCATGATGACCATGCGATGACCTCACAATGACCGTGTGATGACCTCACGATGACCATGTGATGACCTCACGATGGCGACGTGATGATTTCATGATGACCTCACGACGACATCGTGAAACGACCGCGCGGCGACCGCAGCGACTGTTAATCTATTCCGCTGCTCGTCCCCGCCGCAATCCCTCCACGTCGCTAATTTACATACCACGCAACGCCGGCATTCGAATCCAATATATCGTCAAATATATTCGGCAACGTCGGCGAGACGCCGTCGCTCGGACGCGAAATCGTTCCTCCGCAGGCAGACGGCAGACGGCGCCCGAGCACGTCCGCAGAACCGGCGCCACCTACACCGACACGGCCACCGCTGATACCACCGTTTCCCCGTTTCGCCAAACTGCCGGGGGCCGCCACCGTACACGCGCCGTCCCATCCTCAGAGCTCCTCCTTCTTGGCGGCCGCAACAGGTGCTGCCCTCTCGCTCATGTATGCGATCAGGTCTTTGGCAGTTCGCCCGCGGTCGTAGTTGGCCGGCGGCGCCCCCTGGCCGAAGTACTTGAGCGTCGGGAATCCCTTCACCTCGAAGCGGGTGGCGAGTTCGCGCTCCGCCGTCGCATCGACGGCCGCCAGCGCCGCCGTAACCTGCGGCAACGCGTACACATCATGACCCGTGCTGCCATCTGCGGGCGCGACCGAGAAATTATCTCGCCGATCGCGATTGAACCCGAAAATATTTTCTTCTCACTATTTCTAGGATTCGCTAGTGTGTACGCACGGGGCACGTTCGGCAATGCAACCCCTGGCGCCCTCTGGCATTGAAAACAATAGAACGGTGTGAATACATTACCCCTTGCTCCTTGAGCAATGTCGCTGCCTGGCTGTAACCCGGCTTCATCGTCTTACAGTGTCCGCACCCTGCAGAACGAAGAACAAGAGAACGCTCAACATCAGCGTCAACGCGCGATCGTCGCCGCCGCAGACAATGAACCATCTGATGTCGCGACCGCGTCGCAGTTCCGTTGCGTCGTCCGACGAAACTGGAACGCGGGCGCTCGCGACGTATTTAATTCAAGAGCATTTGCGTGATTTATCGCAGTCACCCGCTGTACTCGGCAAGCCGCGTAGTTAATTCGGTGTTGGCAGAAAGATGCGATATGATATGATACTTTAATTTAATTAAAATTTTTTTTTTTAGGGTTAGGGTTAGGGTTAGGGTTAGGGTTTTTTTTTTTTTAAGTGCCTAGTAGTCATATCCTAAGTGCCTAGTAGTCATACCCTAAGTGCCTAGTAGTCATATCATATCGCACCTATCTGCCGGGTGCAGTTAATTCGCGCATACATCTCGGTGTTTTTTTCAACGCGCGCATTTATAATTACCCAAATAAACAAAACGAGCGGAGAAAAAGCACACGACTCGCGAGGTCGCGCGTGCGGGGGACGAACGCCGGCCCGCGATTGGCCGCCGAGGGTAACTCGGCGATCAATCGCGTCGCGGCTTTCCGAAGCTCGCGTCGCATCGATTAAAAAAACTCGCCGTTTTTCGTTGCCGCTGCATTTTTAATGCGATAAACATTTCCGTCTTTGCGGCGACGTTAATAATTTAGCGGCCATCGCGGCTCGTGGCGCCCTCTGGGGAGGAGGGCAACGCTTCGGGCGGCGATCGTGTTTTTCCCGCCGTCTTTTTCATTGACGAATCGTACAGCGGGACGCAGCGGGGGTGCGGCGAAAGAAAAAGTGAGAGTGGAAGACGGGGGGAGAGGGGTGAGAGAGAGGGGAAGTCAATACTGCATAGGAGGGAGAGCCAATACAGGATGAAAAGGGGTGACAGTACTGTGTGGGGAGGGGGAGTCAATAAAGTCTGGGAGGGGAAGTCAATACTGTGTGGGACGGCAAGTCAATACTGTCTAGGAAGGGGAGACAATACTGTGTGGGAGGGGGAGCCAATACTGTGTGGGAGGGGAGCCAATAATATGTGGGAGAGGGATCCAATACAGCTTGGTAGAGGAAGGCACCAGTTGAAGGAGAGAGCCAACACCTAGCATAGTAGAAAGTGGAGTTAGTATCGACACGTCGAACTAGCAGGACACGAGCACGACACAGCAGCAGGGGGCGCCAAACACACGGCGCGTAGAACATGACGAGGGTCGACCCGTGCTCCTCCACGAACGCGTCGAAGTTGTCCGCCGTGAGGTGGTGAACGTTCTCCGACCCCTCGACTTCCTTCCAGAAGTCCTCCGGCTTCGGAGGAGGCGGAGACTCGCGAGCCATCGGGTTGGACGGGTCCGTCATGAAGAGCACAAAGTCCTTCTCCTGCGCGGGGAGAACAGGGGAGTGAACGATTGTGCGATGTCGGCGGCAGTCTAGGTGACGGTTGCGCGTTCACCCGCGTGCTCGCGGCTGTTTGTTTGTTTGGTTGGTCATTTCGTTGAGGTCTGGTTGTTGGTTAATTGCAAAAATTATGTTACCACAAAAAACCGTGTTGTTTTACCGATGTTATGTTGCCGATTGTTGCCAAATTATGTGCTTGTGGTTGTTGTTTTTTTTTGGGGGGGGGGGTATAATCACCTATCCAGAGACCTATCAATCAATCATCTATCAATATACCATCCACACATCTCTCCATCCATCCATCCATCCATCCATCCATCCATCCATCCATCCATCCATCCATCCATCCATCCATCCATCCATCCATCCAGCCATCCAACCATCCATCCATCCATCCATCCATCCATCCATCCATCCATCCATCCATCCATCCATCCATCCATCCATCCATCCATCCAACCATCCATCCATCCAACCATCCATCCAACCAACCATCCATCCATCCATGATGGTTCATCTATCTGTCTCTCACCCACCAGTCTCTGTCTATCCACCCATCCATTCACACATCTCCTCCTCTATATTCAATGCGTAACGCCAGCGTCGGTGCACCCACCTCCCGTCCTCCCATGTAGTCTTGCACCGTCTTGTAGTAACTGAAGTACTTCATCGTCGGATACCCTGTGACGCCGTACTCCTTACACGTCTCCGTGTTCACGGTGCAGTCTACGGCCGCAAACGCCACCTGGTGGACGAGAAAGCAGTAGTAAGATGACAGTTGGAAATGTCAGGGCGTATAGACAGAGAGAGAGAGAGAGGGAGTAGTGGAGGAACGGAGAGAGGAAGGGAGAGAGGGAGGGAGGGAGGCAGGGTGGGAGAGGGAGACAGCGTGAAAGAGCGAGCAAGCAAGAGAAAGAGGGATAGAGAGAGAGAGAGAGACAAAGAGAGAGAGTGAGAGACAAAGTGGGTGAGAGACAAAGAGAGAGAGTGAGAGAGAAAGTGGGTGAGACTGAGAGTGCGAGAGAGAGATTAAAAAAGAGAAAGATAGACAGAGAAAGGAAGAGGGTATATTCGAACAGAGCAAGCCGAGACCGGAATTGTTTCCACATACAGAAACTCACTCGTGGGTTTTCTGCAAACTTCGCAGCTGCTGTCTGGAACTCTGGCTTCGCTTTCTTACAGTGACCACACCCTGCAAGATATTAGTTAACCAGGGTGAGGCTAGCGTCATATGTACATACGTATGCCACAACAACACCGCAACATGCGTAAGCATGCTTCAAACATGTATCCTACCCAGTAAAAAAAATACACGGGGGCTCGGGGCGATTTAGTCCCCGAAATGCCAAAAAGAGCCCCCGGAAATTTGCATAGAGTTCAATGCAAACCAAATTTTAGAGTGCTATTTTCATGCACGCGAGCTTGAAAAGTAGCCCCCGAAAAATAAATTATATTTTTTTACCTGATCCTACCCACTGCACTCGCACAGTCTTCCATCCTCCTACATTCCCCAAGCTTTTCCCACACACTTCCCTCTTACACAGAGCCACCCTCCCCCTTCCTTCGGTCACACAATGCCACCTCTCCTCCCCCACCTCTCGCACACTCTCCCTACCCTCTTGCATAAAACTCACACACTCCTCCCAACCCTCCTTCAACACAAATCCATCTCTCTCTCCCTACCTTGCTCCTGCAAAAAACCACAGCTCCCACTCCCAGCACAAATCCCTGCTTCCCCTCCACCCACCTTCCTCCTCCTCTCCCTCCTCCTCCCCCTCTTGCACCACACACACACACCCTACATTCTCTCACTATCTTCGCGCACGAACCCAGCTCCCCTCCTCCTCCCCCCTCCTGCTCCGCACACACACCCTACATTCTCCCGTAATCTTCGCGCACGATCCAACCTCCCTCCCCCTCCCCGTGCCTACAGTGGCGACA